CATCCATTGGGGGTGCTTTGGTTGTAAGCTCTTGCATGGCAAAAGGTAATTGGACTTGATAGCCATTGAGGTTTCTTCCAACTCTATCATTCTATACTCAAATCTCACTCTGATCAAAGCTATGGGAAGAGGAATGTGTTTCCCATCATCCCCACCAACTTTACATCCTTTTTCTGCCAACAGCCCAGAATCTTGTTCTACGCAGAGAGAGATGGCTTTAGCTTTCTTAAGGGTAGGCCTCAAGCGGCCGTAGAGAATGCACACCCTAAGTGGAGCTGATAAGATTGGTGCTCCAGAATGTGTCATGCTGAGAAAGCTCCGCTGCCTTTTTATCAGCCAACTGAAAAACTTTCCAAAGCTTCCAGGGCATCGGTGCTGACACCCTGATGGAGACCAGATGACAGGCAGACATGATGACACCCAATGGCCTACTTGCCTTTGGGTAATACCACAGAGGCCAAGGAAACAAAAGGACGTCTTGCTCAAATGGCAAGCAGCCATCAAATGTGTAGCTTTTTCCCTCCCATGTTTTGTCATGTTAAAATAAAAGACAATGAGTTGTGCCCCAGCAGGAAGAAGAGGCCCTACTTAACACTTTTCTTCCTATCAGTCCACTCAGAAACACTGCAAGTCTCCCACTTGGGTGAGTCACAGAGACCACAATGAAGAAGGATAGGTGGCATGCCTAAATACAGTCTCATCCAAAATCCACAAAACCTTTACTGGACCAACCAAAATGCACATTATATATGTTGCAAGCTTTTAACGTTCCACTGGCCTCCTGTGCTAAAATTGATACACGACACCTTTGCTTGATGGAGAAGCCACTGGAGCTTTGAAAGCTTGCAACATGTATAATGTGCATTTTGGTTGGCCCAATGAAGAGATCACTGTTTTGTGGATTTTGGACGAGACTGGACTTCGCTATGTGGCCAACACTGCTACTCCTGGATATGTTTTCTGTCACAGGTTGCATACCTGTAACTGTCATTCCTCAGGTGCTCATCTGTAAACTCACACAAATGGGAGGCTTTGGAGACTAGCAAGCTACACAAGTTGGATGTGAGTGTGTCACAAAGCCACTGTGGGTAGAGCTAACTCTGAGCAAAGGGTTAAGCAGCTTTCTCCCCTTCCAGAGTATTTCCTCAAGACTGCAGCCTTCCTTGCAGCTAGTGCAGCTAGTGATTTCCATATCAAAAGCATTTTCAGTACAATGTCTGCACAGAGATATACTTGAGCAGAAACTACTATTTTATGTGCAAATCACTCATGTGCAACTTTTGTGCGGAATAAGTCCCTAATTGCAGTATTTTCTGCACATGAAATAATATTTCTGCCTTTCTGAAAATGCTGTTTCCTGCACAGAAATGCTGTTTTCTATGCAAAACAACCATGTACAAATTTCACCCAGAATAAGTCCCAAACTACAAAAAAGATTATTTTCAATCCAGGATTCTTCTTCTTAGGATTTCTAGATGCTTAAGAAACATGTTTTTTAACCATTTAAAAAATATTGTCAAATATTATTTCCATCCCGAGTTGGTGAATCCTCTCCAGATTTTATTCTAAACACTAAACAGTTATTGAAAGTATTGAACCGTACCTGCCAAAGAGGGCCCTTTAAAATTTGGACTAAAACGCAAAGAAGATTCACTGGCCAGATGTGTATATTTGTTTCCAAAAATAACTAAAGGTGTAACTATTTTAATTACTTTTTTTGAAATGGGAAAGAGGTACCTTTAAAAAAAAATAGTAAATGGCCAATGTCCCATATTCAGGTGAAATAGCATAAATGACCACATGCAGAGTCACACTTGGATGGTGTTATATGACCCTTGTATTGAATGGGAAGGTTATATAACTGAACCTGCAACCAAATGCACAATGGAGTGCATATCTGCATGCACAACAGCATCAAATGTGTAACTTTGTTTCCACGACTTTGATCTGGATTCAGATGTTGTGTATCAGACAAAAACAACCCTCTCTCTTTTAAAAAAAAAAATAGCAGAATTTGTGCATAAGATACCATTGAGATTCTGTCCAACACCTTCGGGGGGGGGGGCTTGGAATGATAACTAATTATTTTTTAATAAGAGACTTTCTAAGCTCTGATGATATCTATTATCAGATTTCAGCTTGTCCAAATTAAAACCAGCAGATACCTAGCAGGGTATTCACAGCATCATTCTGTGTACTTCTATTGCTGCAGCACAGATGTTTGGAGCTGCAATGAATGCCAGAGGCTTGGAGAAATTGACATCTGGGTGCTCAGGAGCAAAGGCCCTTTCGAGTGCCAGTGGGCAGTGGCTATTTTAAATGACAAGTCAGCAAGGATGTGGTTATTATCTCCATGCATTTGTGTGCACATTTATTTATAGGATAGCAACTTTCAGTTACAGCACTACCAAGATCCCATGCCTTTCCAGTTGTTGTTGTTGCTGTTGTTGTTGTTGTGTGCCTTCAAGTCATTTCTGACTTATGGCAACTCTAAGGCAAACCTGTCATGGGATTTTCCTGGCAAGATTTGTTCAGAGGAGGCTTGCCATTGTCTTCCCCTGAGGCTGAGAGAGTGTGACTTGCTCAAGGTCACCCAATGGGTTTCATGGCTGAGCTGGGAATCAAACCCTAGTCTCCAGAGTCATCATCCAACACTCAAATCGCTACACCATGCTGGAATCATAGAATTTTAGAGCTGGAAGGAACCATAAGGACACCTAGTCTAACCCTCTGTCATGCATGAATACATGATCACAGCACTCCCTGAAAAAGACTTGCTTTAAAGACCTCCAAAGGAGTGTTTTTGAAGAGCAGCAATGGGTGAGAACTTTATGACAATTGATTGATTGTTATTTGTTGTTAACTGCCCTTGAGTCGATCTCAACCCATGGCAACCCTATGGATGAGACATCTCCAAGACCTTCTGTCCTCCACTGCTCTGCTTAATTCCTGAAACCCCTTCATACCCATAGTGACCTCCTTCATAGAGTCCATCCATCTGGCATGTGGCCTTCCTCTCTTCCTACATCCCTCCACTTTCCCCAGCATTATTGTTTTTTCAAAAGAGTCCTCTCTTCTCATGATGTATCCAAAGTACGACAGCCTCAGTTTGGTCATCTTGGCTTCCAGAGAGGTTTCTGGCTTGATCTGTTCTAGGACCCATTTCTTGGTCCTTTTGGTTGTCCATGGGATCCTCAGCACTCTTCTCTAGCACCACATTCTCTCAAATACATTGATTTTCTTCCTAATATCTTTCTTAACTGTCCAGCTTTCACATCCATCCATGGTAAAAGGGAATACAATGGCTTGTATGATTCTA